TCATATTTGTAATCATTGTTGGTATTTAGAAGTTAGAGAATCATATGCTTGGTGTGTATTTGGAGATGTGATTGGAGAAGATTGTCAGTTTTGTGGCAATGTCCATCCAAAGCTAGAAATGTGTCTTTTCACAAAGAGCTGGATGATACTACTTGAGGATAGAATGTAGAAGAAATCCATCATCCACATTTGGAGAAGTTAGTACTGATAGTGGAGAAACTTAACAAGATAAGCTTAGACTTTGTAAGTGATTTTGCTTTTACTTTAACAACTAGTGTAGATGATAAACATAAAACTATGTATATAGAATTCTGGTGGTTAGTATTTCTCTAATACTGATAATTTTGGCTATCTCTCTCTAATTAACATCTGACTTTTTGTAGCTGTACATTTTGTACTTGCTTGTTTTCTGTGATGAACTACCTCGAAGCACAGTGGTTTATCGCATATGAAGTAGTGTGTTAGGTCTTTATCTGACTTGTAAATACAATTTTCAAATTGTTTTGTAGCGCTTGGAATGACCTAAATTTAAGAAACCAACAGAAGTTTTTAGTGAATCTCATTCCACACTAATCAATATTTGTTATTGGTGAGTGTAATAGGGATGTATTTCTAGAGAATGGTCTCCTTCCACAGTACTTTGCGATGAGCTGTGTACTAGGTGTATTGTGATGGAGCCTGGCCCGACTCTAGGATTCTCTCTCTTTAGGACATCAGAAGTGTGCACAGCCAAGGGAGACAGGCCCAGGCACACATGGCCATGAACCACTGAAAGTTTAAAGGCCATCTCCATCTTCTGTTGAGTTCCGTGTAGTATAAAGACTTTGGGAGTTTGCATAACTTGAGAAATATTAAACAAACATTATTTAAAGGGCAGTGTCCAAATTGATAGGTCTGATGTCTAACATAAGCTCTAAGAGGTGATGAAATGTTTTTCAAGAGTTTGTGAGTGTTCGAATGAGGACAAGTAATGGAAAATAGATGGGGGGCTGCGATGGGCCATTCTTAGAAGCTGTGACTAATTATAGAAAGAGAAGTAGAGCCACTGACAACTCAGCAAATTTGGGGAAATGATCACTTAGAGAGAGCCCTGCCGGAGGGGCCGTTTGACATGAGGAAGGCAGGGATGTTGCGCTGTGATCACGGGTGTTTCTGCTTACACGATGCTTAAAAACATTTGCAGCCCTCATGCCCACTGTCTCAGTTCTCCCAGATTTAAAATAATGTTCTTTCTTGAGGTGGTGATTCTGATTTAAAAAAAAAATTAGCTTTTGGAGGAGAGATAACAAAAGGGAGTGCCCTGCCACAGAGGTAGGGTGGGATGGGGGTGGGGGGTGGGAGGTGGGAGGGATACTGGGATCAGTGGTGGTGGAGAATGGGATGAGTATTCAATCATTGCATAACTGAAACCCGAGCACAAAATTTTGTAAGTCTACAACTGTACCTCATGGTGTTTCACTGATCACTATCACGGTCACGACCATCCTGTTGTCATCGATTGCCTCAAGCAGGCCTCAGTAACGTCTCCTTCGTCCTAGCCCTGAGATTTTTTAAAAAGTGCCATATTCAAGACTCTTTCAGGGTTAGGAGAATGAGACCCATCATTGTTACTGGTTTTTGGCATATTGGGGACGCCACGGGGAGTGTGCCAGACTCTGCCGTGTGGGCAGGTTACATTCAGTAGCCTGCCAGGTTGTCCAGAGTAGGTGTTTCACTAATAAAAATTTAAAGGAAAAAAAATTAGCTTTTGGGCTTATGGCTTGTGGTTTGCTGTGTGATAAAATAGATCTTCTTTTTCTTCCTGAACTTTCTCCTTGAGATCGTCCCAGTCCACCTTACTCTTACTCTCTCCTACATATCTTTTATGGCTTTGTTGGAAATATGTAAGGGATCACATGGCTTCTCTTTGGAATGATCTTCCTTCCTCTGCTTATTTTTCCACCCTCTGTTAATTTGTGATACAACAATCTTCCCTGGAGTCATTAATTGTAATTCTGAAAATGGAAAAGTTTTACTCAGGTGAAAAATAGGTAGCAGAAGTTGATGAACCTTCACAGTAAATATTTGTGTTTTTCTGCAGCTGCCACTAGTAATTAAGAGAAAATAGCTAAGTGGAATGGACCCTGCCTCGCTTGATTGCGCGAAGGGGCTTTGGCAGGCTTACAGGCGGCCTCGTCGCCGAGCCTCGGGTACGACTGTGCGGAACACACTGCCACCTGGTGGCTGCACGTTCCCTTCCGTCCACACAAATCGTCAGACTTGGGATAACATATCTATCATCTTACTTTGTATTTTTATGGGTATTTATATATTTTTACTTTGATCACAAAAGAGTTAAAACTATATCGACTCTAGGGTGGGAGAATTTAAGGGGAAGGGTCTGATCTAAGGAGAGGCTTGTTGAAGAATCGGAGTGACGGGCCCTCTTTGCAGTGAACTGTGATTGAAGAAGAGGAGGGCCAAAACAAGGAGGCAAAAGATTAACCCTTCACTGTTGTCGAAGAGAATACAGACGTCATTGTGCATTTCTTACAGCTCCTTGCTGCCAGTTTTCTTTTGGAATCTCTCAAGATTAAAATATGGGTGTTAGAAAAAAATTTTAAAAAAGGGGTAAGGATAGAGTGGAACCCAGAAGGAGGCTCAAATCACCTCTGTATTGTGTAATGCTCTGATGACATGGGAACCACTGACTGTTGCCAGCATTTTCTAGTAGCTAGTGTCCTGCCATGCTGGCTTCCCCTGCCACAGTGCATTTCCTATCAAGTTTAAGGACTAATGTTTAAGCCAGGACAACTCTTCCTTCGGAGACCCTCCTACCTGACACCACAGGCAGCAGCTGCAGTCACTGCTTCCTAGCACATGGGCCCCATCCCTGGGGTGTTTTAAAGGACCATTGTTTTGCAAAGCAGACTGTGGACTGTCTTTTCCTTGCCCATCTGACTAGAAGCTAAAGGGGATGGACTGTGAGGATTTTGAGGACTCTCAGGAAATACAAAGTGGTGATGCAATGGAGTCCAAAAAGAACAGTAAATTAGAGACCATCCTTACTGACCAGTGCCGGAAGTCCAGGTGTTTCTTAATGAATACAGTTCACCTAGGGGAGAGTCCGTGTCTTGCAATTGCAGGATCTGACTTTTTCCAGTGTCAGGATTTTGAATATGCAGCAGTGCGTAGATAGACAAATGAATAACTTTGTGTCTGATTTCATCTTACTTTATCTACAGCTGTTGACAGTTTTTACATATGTCGTTGTTGGTGGTGGTGGGGTGGGAGGGGTGACACCAGCAGTGGTCAGGGGACCATGCAGTACCTGAAGCCCCTGCATGTAAAACGTGCCCTCTAGCCCATCGAACCATTTCTCTGGCCCTATCCACAATAGTATAAAAAACTGGAATTGATATAACTTGAGCATTTTCTTCTCACCCATGAAAATACAACCAAACAAATCTCCAAAAGGCGCTTCTAAATATGCCTGATTAGAAGTCACAGAACACAGCTGTTCTCTGCTTTTATTTTTGATTATAGGGCTGGAGCTATAGCACAATGGGTAGAGCGTTTGTCTTGCACACTGCTGACCTGGGTTTGATTCCTCTGTCCCTCTCGGAGAGCTCGGCAAGCTACTGAGAGTATCCCGCCCGCACAGCAGAGCCTGGCAAGCTACCATGGTGTATTTGATATGCCAAAAACACCCAAAAGGAGAGAGAGAATAAAAGGGAATGTCCTGCCACAGAGGCAGGGTGGGATGGGGGGGATGGGGGGAGGGATATTATCCATGGAGGTGGAAAATGGGCACTGGTGGAGGGATGGGTATTTGATCATTGTATAACCGAAACCCAAGCACAAAAATTTGTAAATCTACAACTGTGCCTCATGGTGTTTCACTAATAAAAATTTTAAAAAAACAGTAACAACGAGTCTCAAAATGGAGACTTTACTGGTGCCCACTCATGCATTTCGGTGAACAATGGGAGGACAGTGCTAATTAAGATAATTTTGGTTTCAATGCCGTACCGGTGCTCCTCAGGAGTCTGTGCTCGGGAATGACTCCTGGTGGTGCTCTGGGGACCATGTGCATTTCTGGGGCCCAAAAGGAGTCAACTGCATGCAAGGCAAGCTCCTTAACAACTCTGCTATTGCTCTAGCCCTGTTCTTGGCTTTTCTGATTTCTGCAATTTAGGCCCTTTATTTTGTGGTAGTTGGAACTTCTTTGAATATCTTTTGTAGTTTTTGGTTGTTAATTATTTTCTGAGCCATACGTATAATATCTGAATATATTTGTCCTTAGTTTGCTTCTGGACATATATGCATATCTACTTGAAAGTTAACATTTTAGAAGATCTGGCCTCTTCAGGCATGAAAGATTTCCTTCTAAAAGCAGGGCAGATCTTGAAATAAGTGTTGTGACACCAGGGATTCTTTTGTACAAAGCTGTCTCTTGAAATGACTTTGGTTTGTCTGATGCTTCTGACAGGTTTTCCTTTAAAAAGCTATAAAGTGATAGAAGGACATATTGATTTCTTTTAAGGACTGTGGTGCTGAGACATTTCCCTCCCCTATGTGTATTTGTGAACACCAGAAGTCTACGAGTTTTCTTTTGCTAATAACTAAAGAAAAGATCTAAATTTCTACAGCGCAGTATTCAATTTACAGAGTAATCGTGGCCCACATAATGAGTCAGGCCGTGCACACGGTTACCCTATGCATCTTCATTGAACATATCATGCCACAATACTTGATTGGAGTCAGATCATTTATTTTCTGTTGAATTAAAAAAAAAACCTGACACAGCCTGCTGGAGTAGGTTTCATGACCCAGCCATGTGAGCCATGGTTGTTTGGAAAGTTTTGAGATTTTGCAGACAGAAGACTCACTGAGAAATCCCAGATTCTCCTACACATTCAAATAGGCAAAATCTAGCAAAGAAGGGAAGAAACTGTGGCTTTGATTCCGATTGTGTTGAGTGTTCCCAGTATGTGATGCCGCTGTCTTTTTCTCTGCAGCTGGACCACATATTGTCCCCACCACCCATGCCGTGTCGAAAATGCAGCAACCCAGATGTGGCCTCGAGCCCTGGGAAGTCACTCAAGTTTAAAAGACAGCTGAGTGAGGATGGACGCCAGCTTCGGCGGGGGAGCCTGGGAGGAGCACTGACCGGTAAGTCTCAGTGGCTCTGTGGAGAAGGGACTGGGTTCCCTAGTAGGGGTCTGAAACAGTTTGGGACAGTCAGCCTGCTCCAGAATAAGCCTGCCTCTCTGTACACCATCTAGAGAAATCCAGTCTAATCTAGAAAGCAATAAAGATTAGGGTTTGGTAGTAAACTTGACTGAAATTTAATTTGATTACAGTAAGATGCCACGTGCAAGGCAAATACCCGCCAACAGATGAGGTTCAATTCCTCCACCCCTCTTGGAGAGGCGGGCAAGCTACCAAGAGTATCTCGCCTGCACGGCAAAGCCGGGCAAGCTACCCATGCATGACGTATTCGATATGCCAAACACAGTAACAACAGATCTCACAATGGAGATGTTACTGGGCCCGCTCAAGCAAATCGATGGACAACGGGAGGACAGTGCTACAATTAGATGCACCCATTGTAAAAGTGTGTGTGTGGATAGGTTTTTGGCAAATGTACACGATAGTGTTAACTAGCTCTACAATCAAGAGAGAAAATGTCCCCAATACCCCTTTGTCCCTATTCCTGTGTCACTGTCCCCACCCTGAATTTTTTTTTTAAAGTTTTATTAGTGAGACACCATGAGGTACAGTTGCAGACTTACAGATTTTCGTGCTTGGGTTTCAGTTATACAATGATCGAATACCCATCCCTCCACCAGTGCCCATTCTCCACCACCACGGGTCCCAGCATCCCTCCCACTCCCCATCCCCCCATCCAACCCTGCCTCTGTGGCAGGGCATTCCCTTTTGTTCTCTCTTTCCTTTTGACCCACCCTGAATTTTTAACCCCAAGAAATAGAGTTGCATTTATCATTCCTATACTGTAGATTTATCTTTAATTGAGTATCATTGGAACCCATATGATAGCATTTTTTGTGGTTTCTTGGGCTCATTTTAATATTTTAAGATTGATCCTTCCTTTTTGTGTATACCAATAGTATATGATGGACTTTATGAAGAAATGGTTCAACTGTTTCCCAAAATAGTGTTTTCATTTTGTATTCCCATCAGCAACAGACGAGGAATATAGTTACTCCTCTTCCTTGCCTAAAATATTTCCAGTGTTTTTAGTTCTAGTTGTTTCAGTGGGAAGATCGTTATATTTCATTGTGGTTTTAATTTGTGTTTTATTAATGATTCAATGATGTCTGACATCTTTCCATGTGCTTTTGGGATGTCCACATGCCTTTTGTGAAGATACCACCTCTTCTATCCATTTTTTTCTTTCACATGTTTTTTAATCACATTAAAGTTAATTTTAAAAATCAGATTAAGAAAATCCCACAGATCACTTTCATTGAGTTGAAAAGTAGCCAAATTAAATTGAACTCTGTTTTCAAAAGAACAAGATATGATTAATTTTATTAAACTTGACTTAAATCACCAAATTTTAGTTTTATGTTTTAGTCTATGATTTGACCCTTAAATATAATTTTTAAAGAAATTTTATTTTGACTTTAGTAGAAATATTGTTATCAAGGAAGTTGAAGCAGTTATCCAGAATATCCCCAAGAACAAAAGTCTGAGCCATGGCAGATCACAGGGAGTTTTTCCAAACCTTTAAGGAGGACCTTCTACTGACTCTTCTCAAGTTCTTACTGAAAGAGACGAAGTAGGAATCGTCATAACTTTTGTGAAGTTCTGCCTCTTCTACCCATTTTTTTCTTTCTGTGAGACCAACATTTCTTTGAAACCAAAATGACTAGGATATTGCTAAAAAACAAAATTTTAGAGCAGTATCTCTATTGAACATAACTTTAGAGTTCTTCAATAAAATCCTAGTGGATTGAGCACATTACATTCATTTTTCATTTTTCATTTCATCATCCTGTTATTCGTCGATTGCCTCGAGCAGGCCCCAGTAACGTCTCTTTCATCCTAGCCCTGAGATTATATTCAAGGCTCTTTAGGAGAATGAGACCCATCATTGTTACTGGTATTTGGCATATTTGGTACGCCACGGGGAGTTTGCCAGACTCTGCCCTGTGGGCAGGCTACATTCACATTACATCACATTACATTCACATTACATTCAGTGAATCATATACATGATCAAGTGGGTTTTATCCTAGAGATGTAAGGATGGAAGCAGTATGAAGTCTCTGCTCCACCTTCTAATTCCTTAATACTGAAATTCCATGGGAGCACAGCATGGGAAAGTAACATAGAAGCCAACTAAACCCAACAAACAAAAAGAAAATACAGAAGACTCAACTAACAATATACAGCTTATTAATTTTTAGAGAAGAACTTAACCACATCCTGTGATGAGATAAGACAATTCTCATATTAAAAAAAACTGATTTTTTAAAAACGTGTTGATTTTTAGTATTGGAGCTTTGTTGTCTAACAGTTGTAACTTCTGTCTGCATTAAAAAATGGAATAATTAATTAAAAATCACTTTAGATAAACGACTAAAATAAATAAAATACATCTAGGAAAACATAGGCAGAACTCTCCTTGATCTTGACATCAGAAGAGTCTTCAATAATACCAACCTTATGGCAAAGAAAACTAACGCAGAAGTAAATAAATGGGACTACATCCGGCAAAAATACTTGACACTGCAAAAGAAATGAGACCTAAGACAAAAAGATACTCCACTAACTCAGAGAATGTATTTGTAAAATCACACATCTCATGGCTAATATCCAAGGTATATAAAGAACTCTCAGAGCTCAACAAAAAACAGGGAAAGGAGATGAATAGAGAATTCCTCAATGATGACATACAGATGACCAGTGGGGATGTGAAAACTGTTCAGTATAACTGATTATCAGGGAAATTTAAATAAAACAACAATGAGGTATATCTTCATATCAGTGAGAGTTATCTATATCAAAAGTCTGCAAGTAGTAAGTGCTGTTGGGGATGTGGTGAAAAGGATGTCTTAGTCACTGCTATTTGGACTATGTCCTAATTCTTGCCTCTTTGAAAAACAGTTTGGAGACTTTTCAAAAAAATTTGAAATGACATTTGCATGTAACTCCGTAACTCTGCAATATCTCAAGATATTCAAGGGCATCTACCCCAGGAACACAAAAAATTTAACCCAAGGGATATATATATATGTATATATATATATTTTTACATATATATATCTTTATATATATGTACATCTATGTTCATCACTGCATTATTAACAATAGACAAGATCTGAAAACAACCCAAGCATCCAGCAACAGATGAATAAATAAAAAAATTATATACCTACACAATGAAATATTACTCATCCATTAAAAGATGAAGTCTTACAGTTTGCTGCAACTTGATGGAATTAGAGGAAATAACGCTATGAGGGATTGGAGCGATAGCACAGCAGGTAGAGTGTTTGCCTTGCATGCAGCAGACCTGGCCGACCCAGATTCTATTCTTCCACCCCCTCAAAGAGCCCAGCAAGCTACCAAGAGTATCTCGCCCACACAGCAAAGCCTGGCAAGCTACCCATGACATATTCGATATGCCAAAAACAGTAACAAGTGTCACAATGGAGACGTTTCTGGGCCCGCGTGAGCAAATCGAGCAAATGCTAAAAGAGGTGAATCAGAAAGAAAAAGACAAACGCTAGATGATCTCAACTCATGTGGAGCATAGAGAAGCAAAGCAAGGGATCCCCAGTGGAATCTGCCTTGAGTCACAGTAAATGTTGTGATGTGAGGATGCTGAAGGGAGTGGGGAAGGGGCTCTTGGGATAATAGTGAAGGGATCCAGGCACTCTGGTTTAGCAGCACTGCCAGTATATCACAGTAATAATGTTGTGAAAAAGAACAAAAATTAAAGATTAAAAAAAATCTGAGACAAAGCCTTCTCGTTCCACCTGTGGTCCCCAGGACCTAAGATTGAAATCTTGGAATCACAATAGACTTTTCAAATCCTCTCTTTCTCTTAATTTTTTGGTCGCACTATTAATAACTATTCTCTGCTACAGATTGTAATGATAATAATAACTAATAAAAGAAAAAAGAAATTTTGTTTCTAAAACACTGAAGCAAAGTTTTCTGTGTATATGTCTCTTTTGCCTATTACTAAATGATCTAGAAAATTGTTTTATCATACTTGTTGAAAGAACTTTGGATTTTTACTTGTGAGAGATGAACTGTCTAGAATAGGAATGCTTTTCACATAAACAACAAATCTACTTTGTTTAAACATTTATTTACCAATAGAAGGGAAACTTCTGTGATTCTTGTTAAAGTATGAAAGTTTGAAACAATACAAGAATATAGCTGTTGATGCAAATAACTAATATGAAGGATGACATTTGACCTTTCTCTTAAAAAAATAGCTGGACTTGGGCCAGAGAGGTAGTAGAGTGGATAAGGTGCTTGCCTGGCATGCAGCTGACGTGGGTTTGATTCCCAGCACCACATGTGGTCTTTTTGCTCAGAGCCCAGAGTAAACCCTGAGCACAACTGGTATGGCCAAGAAACTAAAATAATAGCAATAGTAGTAATAAGAAGAAGAATCTGGAACTGATTATTTAGCAACCCTACTTACAAAATTTGGACTGGAGCTGTAGCACAGTGGGTAGGGCCTTCGCCTTGCATGCAACTGACCCCGGTTCAAGTCCCTCTCAGAGAGCCCAGCAGGCTACTGAGAGTATCCCACCCGCATGGCAGAGCCTGGCAAGCTCCCTGTGACATATGCCAAAACCAGTAACAACAAGTCTCACAATGGAGACGTTACTGGTGCCCGCTTGAGCAAATCTATGAACAACGGGAGTACAGTGCTACAGTGCTACTTACAAAATTTATGTTGATATATAGTTATTGAGATAATTAAATCTTTAGTCAGACAAATTTCAAAATATTTAGTAGAACTTAGTAGACTGTAAAATCTCCAGAACTACATTTTGAGAAAAAGATAGATTGGAATATGATGAAATTGTTCTTATTTTTTTCAATTTTTGCAATTCCAGGGGTCAAACCCATAGTATCACAAATGCAAGGCAAGAATTCTACTAATGATATACATCCTG